TTCTCAATCTTATTGTCAAATGTAAAAATATCAGAGGATGGATGCCAACGCAACCCTAATGCCTTAGTTGATGATGATGAGCTGTCGTTGAAGTTGACAGTAGAGACATTAATTTGGTCGTTAGATAAATCTTCCAGGAGTCTGGGTTCATTGCTGGACCATTTTCTCAAGTTGAAACCGCCTCCTCGTAATATATCAATTAATTGGCGTTGCGCTTGTTTTGCTTCCTCGATCTTGTTGCTACCATATATCAAATCATCAACATAGAATCTCTTCTTCAAGATCTCAGCTGCTATAGGGTAAACGTCAGCGTCATCACTTGCTAACTGCTGCATCGTTCTGAGAGCCAAGTAAGGTGCAGCTTTCATACCATATGTGACGGTGCATAATTGAAATTCTTGCATAGTGCCTTGTTCGTTCCGCCATATAATCTTCTGGAGTTGCTGGTCATCCTCTTGTACCTTGATCATACGATACATCTTTTCACAATCTGCTGTATATACGTATTTGTAAGCACGCCAACTTAATAATAATTCCAGTATATCACGTTGCAGTTTAGGGCCGCACTCCATTAAGTCATTCAAGCTAAAGCCAGTCGATGTTTTTTCCGATGCATTAAAAACAGCTCGTAATTTGGTAGTGTTAGAGTCAAATTTTAGGACGCCGTGATGTGGTAAATAACATTCTAGAGATTTAGTCTCCACTGCCGGTTTCATATGGTTCATTGCAATATACTCATTCATGAAATGGTTGTACTTTTCACATAGTTGCGGATCTTTTCCTAGCTTTCGCTCTAATTGCTTGAACTGTGCGACTGCCTTTAGTTTTGAGTTACCTAATTGCCTTTCAAAGCCTTTCTTCATGGGTAAACGTACTTCATACACTCCACTTGATAATCTTTTAGTCGTTTTGACATAATAATCTTCACAAAATTGCTCTTCTAAAGTTAATGAGCGTTCATGTTCCGATATGTCTTCCATTTCCCAATAATTGCAAATGTCTTCGATATTATTGATAGTAAAATAACAGTTGAATGTTTTCGTCGTAGAACCAGACAATATCCAACCCATTTGTGTTTGCTGTGCTATTGGTTGGCATGGTGAACCTTTTAACAGCCCATCCATGATGATTTCAGCATAAACTTTAGCGTCTAAAAGAATATCAATAGGCTTCGATATATTGTATTCAGGATCCGCTAATTGCAAGTGTTGTATGTGTGGCCAATTTTTGTTCTCGAATGACGTCACAGGTAGGCAGTTAATAACTTTGGACATTATTAAAGCTTCTGTAGAGAATGCATAATCGGTCGATAATGATTTACAGTGCAATAATACTTTTCCTCGGCTTTTGTTTGGCGAAGTACCGATACCGGTGACAGATGCATTGAAGTTTTGACGTTTCAGCCCCAGCCTTTGAGCTGCATTTTCGGATATAAGGGACGTTTGTGATCCCTGGTCCAGAAGTGCGCGCAGTATGATGTAAGAGCCATCTGCTGCCCTTACTTGCATCTTGATAGTGGCAAGCAATATTTCTTCATCATTTCCAGCCACGTGGTTCGATTGTACATGTGGTTTCGTGCCCTGCGACTTCGAGGTCGTAGTCGTCATGTTCGCCGAACTTGCATTATTGCCTTTGTAATATAAACGTCGTGTAATAAGGTGTTATGTTTCTTGTTGCACTCCTTGCACCGTTTTTCAGAATTGCATTCATATTTATGCACGTATAAACAGTTTTCGCATATGTGTAGTTTCGAAATGGTATGTAGTTTCATTTCCGGTGGCATGACTTCGAATCTTTTACATTGAAACAATGCGTGATTTTGTTTGCATAAAGGACAAGTAGGTATAAATTTGGAGTTTACGTAAAACGATTTCTTGAATGATGCATCTCTATTCTCATAAATTGCAGGTTTTTGGTAATTACGTTGTTTAAATTTTGATACATGGTTATTTTTATTAAAATTAAATGTTTCGACTGTCTGCTCTTTCCTATTCATTGGCTCTAGGGCTATGAATTTGGCTTCCAAATACGCCATAAACTCATCCAAATCAGGTAGTTCCCGTGGGGCTTTTCTTGACTCCATATAATCACTGTAAGTTGTTGTATCTAATTTCTTTGCTATGAGGTGTACCAGAATCGGATCCCAAGAGCTAGTGTCAATCCCCATATTGAAAACACCATGAATGCATTCCATTGATACGTCGTGAAGTCGTTTGAGTTCCGTTGATGATTGTTTTTGGATGTTAGGTTGATTTAAAAGAGTTTCAATGTGCTTCGTAAAGAGGACTTGTTGATTATCATAGCGATGCACTAATAATTTCCACGCGGAGTCATAGTTTTCTGAAGATATATGCAAGTGTTGTATTAGGCGCTCGGCTTCACCTCTGAGCTTGCCCTTTAAGTGCTGCATTTTTTGTGCCTTAGTCATAGAAGGATTGTTGTGAACGGCTTCTTTAAACAGGTCAAAAAATGTACTCCATTGGATATAATTCCCAGAAAACGTAGGTATTTCTATTTTTGGTGTTGTGAGGTGTGCATAGTTTTGAGATGTTAATTTTTTTGTTCAGTAACCTATTCATGTTTTTAAACTTGACTTCCATCTCCTCATATTCCTTGTCGTACTCTAAATCGGAACCTTCGAGAATATTGTCAATCTTCAAGTGAGTTTCTTCGATGTTGCTCCAACGATTTTGAAGGTTTCTTAACTCATACTCTAACTCCCATTTTTCTTCGATGTTTTCTATGTCTAAGTTCTCAGTTATTCTCGAAAATGCTCGAAAGTTAGTTCGCTGCAAACTTAATAATTCTTTAGCTTTCTCAAGGTCAACCTGGGTGGTATTATCCTTCGTCGATTCATCCTTTGATTCATACTCATACACAGTCATCATTTCCCGCGTTTTGCTGTACAAATGTTCATACACAAGAAAAATGTCCTTTGTAAAATATTCATGAGTCTTGTCTGCTACTGTCGATAATTGTTCGTTGTTGCTTTTGAATTCGAGCCAAAGATCATCCAAATCTTTGATTCTCTTCTCTATGTATTCCTTAGTTTTCCTTGACTTCGGATCTTTTTTGAAATTGGTGTTAAGCTTTTTGATCTCGTTTACGATTTCGAACTGTCTCTGCAGTAAGGCTTGCATAATGATAAATTATTAATTGAATATGTAAGCTGCAAGTAAACAGTGATGGAACTGTAACTTCCAAACGTCGGGTCCACTTAGTGCATTTGTGTCCTCAGCACAGTATGTATGCGCCTTCTCAATTCGACTGGTGAGACCCGCTTGTGGGAGGCCAGAGGAACCGATTCGCCACTGTACCAAAACACTAAACACTAAGGTAATAGTCGAAGGACCAAAATGTTTACGTAAATATGCAAATATGTAATGCAGTGCAATGCAAGATTAAATGCTGTTAAGGAGTACCACTCAAATACTGAGATTGTAGGATGCAAAATAAAACACTGTTAACTGTAACGCCTTGCGAATGGTACTGAATTTATTATAAAAGAAAACATAATATGTACAATGCATTAAAATGACGTCAAACACGAGCTCGCGCTCCAATTACGCTAACATATAAAAATGTACGGGTTTACTCGTACATGGACAAAACAAAGATCATGTTTAATGTCCATGTACACCTATGCCAGTAGTTGTGGGGAGCACTATGCTCGAAGTTGTTGACGAGTACGTTTACCTAGGACAAATAGTCCGACTAGGTAAGGCCAACTTCGACCGAGAGGTCAAGCGACGCGAAGATTCAACTCGGCTGGGCAGCGTTCGGGAAATTACGACACATCTTCTCGTCAGGTATACCTCAATCTCTAAAATCTAGATTGTACAACCAGTGCCTGTTGCCAGTGATGACTTACGGATCTGAGACGTGGTCCTTCACTGCTGGCCGTATGAGGACGCTCAAGGTCGCTCAGCGAGCTATGGAGAGGGCTATGCTCGGAGTTTCTCAGCGTGATAGACTCAGAAATGAGGATATCCGCAGTAAAACCAGAGTGACCGACATAGCCCAACGGATTAGTAAGCTGAAGTGGCAATGGGCCGGCCATATAGCTCGAAGAACCGATAACCGATGGGGAAGAAAGGTTCTCGAGTGGCAGCCTCGTACCGGTAGGTGAAGTGTAGGGTGGCCCCCCACTAGATGGAGTGACGACCTGGTAAGACATACGGGAAGTCAATGGATGCAGGTGGCTCAGGACCGTGCTTTGTGGCATTACTTGGGGGAGGCCTATGTTAAGCAGTGGACTTGTGAAGGGCTGTAATGATGATGACGATGATTATGACGATGACCATGATGATGATGCAGACGATGACGGTTGTGGCCGTGGAAGAAAAAGGGGAGATCTACCGCCGGGCAAGGTGTTCTGCTCGGGGAGCGGCCAACACTCCGTGTGATAGTTTGGAGAAGTTCTATATATACAGATTTAGAATTTCGGAATATTGATAGCGCGATTAAGGCTTCGGTGTGTTTTCGCTTGCGGCGCGACGACAGCGCCACCACATCACCCCCCTGCTCAGACCAGCGGTCGATAGTGAAGCCTCGTTTGCCGACTAATGTGCAAGCGCCAGGAGATTGCCTTGTAGTCGGCGGTGAGTCGAGAAGAAGGCAAGTAATCTGCGAGAGTGCCGTGAAGCAGAGGCGAGCAGTAAGGCTCAGAGCCGTGCCGAACACCGTATGGCGCAGAGAGTAGCTTGAAGGAACATGAAGCATTATTATTCCAGTGCTGCGATGAACCTTGTGAAGCTAGATGGCTTGCAGGATATGAAGACTGCAGACGATATCTGCTCGGGAGCGAATGGGTGGGGTATTTTATGACGATGATGAAGCTTGAAGTTTCCGAAGGTTGTTGGTTGCGTGTTCAGATCACGTCGGGGTCACCACTGTGGCCGTGGAAGGAAAAGGGGAGATCTCCCGCCGGGCAAGGTGTTCTGCCCGGGGAGCGGCCGACACTCCGTGTGATAGTTCGGTAAGTTCTATAATGATTCGGAATGTTGATAGCGCGATTAAGGCTTCGGTGTGTTTACGCTTGTGGCGCGACGACAGCGCCGCTACACGAATATCATGACGATGACGATGACAATGATGATGACGATGAGGATTATGGTCATGATGACGATGACGATGACGATGACGATGACGATGATGATGACAATGGTGGTGATGATGATGACGATGACGATGATCATGATGATGACGATGATGATGAAGATGAAGATGACGATGATGATGAGGATGATGATGATGATGACGATGATCATGAGGATGACGATGATGATGACGATGAAGATGACGATGATGACACTGATGATGACGATGATAATAAAGTTGATGATGTCGATGATGATGATGATAATGATGATGATAATGCATGAAAAATGATAATGATGATGATAATGATGATGATTATGATGATGATAATGATAAAAATAATGATGATGATGAAGACGATGACGATGAGTATGACGATGATGATGACGATGATAATAAAGTTGATGATGCCGATGATGATGACGATGATGATTATGATGACGATGATGATGACGTTGATGATGACGATTATGGTGTCGAAGACGGTGACGACGACGGTGACGATGACGATGACGGTGACGGATGACGATGATGATGAATATGACGATGACGATGTTGACGATGATGATGATGATGACGACATTAATGATGACGATGACGTTGATGATGACGCTGACGATCTTGATGATGAAAGTGATGATGCCGATTACGATGACGATGACAATGACGATGTTGAATGATGGTGACGAAGACGATGATGCTGATGATGATGATGATGGCTATGATGTTGTCGAAGACGTTGACGACGACGGTGACGATGACGATGACGGTGACGTATGACGTTGATGATGAATATGACGATAATGATGGTGGTGACGATGATGTGATGACATTAATGATGACGATGATTAAGATGACGATGATGACGATGATGCTGTCGAAGACGTTGACGACGACGGTGACGATGACGATGACGGTGACGGATGACGATGATGATGAATATTACGATGACGATGGTGGTGACGATGATGATGACGAATGTGATGACGTTAATGATGACGATGATGAAGATGACGATGATGACGATGATGCTGTCGAAGACGTTGACGACGACGGTGACGATGACGATGACGGTGACGGATGACGATGATGATGAATATGACGATGACGATGATGGTGACGATGATGATGATGATCATGATGATGACAATGATGTTGACGTTTACGATGATGATTACGATTACGATGATGATGACGATGACGATGTTGATGACATTGATGATGACAATGATGATGATGATGATGATGACGATGATGCTGTCGAAGACGGTGACGACGTCGATGACGGATGACGATGATGATGAATATGACGATGACGATGATGGTGACGAATATACGATGACATTGATGATGACGACGATGCTGTCGAAGATGGTGACGACGACGGTGACGATGACGATGACGGTGACGGATGATGATGATGATGATGAACATGACGATGACGATGATGGTGACGACGATGATGGCAATGATGATGACGATGACTATGACTGTGTCGATGATGATGACGCTGATGATGCCAATGGTGATATGAAAGATGATGATGACGATGATGATGACGATGAAGATGACGATGACGTATTACTGACAGTGACGGTGAGGGTGACGATGATGGTGACGATGATGATGACGATGGTGATGATGATGAGGACGATGACGATGATCATGATGATGATGAATAGACGGCCCCCAGACAATGGTAACGGCAGGGCAGGGGGTGCTAAGAATCTCCAGTGGAGGTTCAGTTGATACCTAAAACGACTCGACTTGAAAATTTACAACGCGTGCACCCTGAGGACTGACGAGAAGATACTGGAGCTGGAAGAAGAGATAGACAAGTTGTGTTGGAGTATTATAGGATTATCCGAGGTCCGAAGAGAGGTGGAGGACACGGTGATTCTCGAATCCGGCAACTCGTTCTATCACCGAGAGGATGACCAACTGTCCCAAGGAGGTGTTGGATTTATCGTTCACAAGTCTCTCGTTAACAACTTTATAAATATTGGGAGTGTGCCGACGAAGGTTGCGTACCTTATATTCAGAATCACCAAACGGTATTCGCTGAAGGTCATACAGGTTTACGCACCAACGTCGGCACATCCCGATGAGGAGGTGGAGGAAATGCATGAGGATATTTCTAAAACCATACATTCCTTCAAAACACACTATACGGTGTTAATGGGAGACTTCAACGCAAAGCTAGGCACAAGAAAAACCGGTGAGCTGAAGGTAAGGAAGTTTGGGATAAGGCAACGGAACCTAAGGGGCCAGCAGCTGGCCGACTTCATGGAGAAAGAGGGATTCTTTATGATGAACTCTTTTCTTTCAGAAGCGGCCCCACAGAAAGTGGACCTGGTCGAACCCCGACGGTTCGAGAAAAAATGAGATTGACTTCATTATGACGAGTAGACGGCAAATGTTCAGTAATGTCTCAGTGATCGCAAGGGTGAAAACTCGCAGCGATCACCGAATCGTTAGAGGCACACTGAACCTAAACGTTAAGGAGGTATCGTCTAATGAGGTCAACACTCAGTCCCCTCGTGCCCTAATACAAAATCCTGAAAAGTTTTAGCTGGAATTACAAAACCGTTTTCAGTGCCTAGAAGATTGCAATGCAGTGGACAATATGAATGACAAGCTCGTGGATACTGTCTATGCAGTCGGAGCTAATTTCTGCAAGAACCGCCGCAGAAGAACACAAAATCTGTCCGATCACACTTCTTAATCTCATGGATGTTAGACAGGAGATGAAGCTGCAGTCGTCAGCCCCGAAAAAAAAGATCGACAATGCAGGTCGTAAAAACCTGAGATTTTGAGTGAGATTGAGAGGTTCTACGGGCAACTGTACATATTATCGTTGGAGCCACACGCAAGTGTGAGTAACGATCCAAGAGCAAGTCTTATCCGACACTATTCCGATGATATTCCGGACGTCAGTCTGAGCGAGATTAGAATGGCTCTCCAGCACCTTATAAACGGCAAGGTCCCAGGCGAGATTGGAATTACAGCGGAGCACCTGAAAGCGGATGGAAAACCGGTACTTGAAGTCCTTCAGAAGCTCTTTAATTCCATCTTCCATGGTGGCACTACGGAGGTGTGGAGCGGAAGTACGGTAGTCTTGTTCTTCAAGAGAGGTGACAATGCTCTGTTGAAGAACTACAAACCAATTTCCCTTCTGAGCCGCGTCTACGTGCCGTTTTCGAGAGTCATTATGAATATTCTCGCACGCAGACTCGACTACTTCCAGCCTCCCGAGCAAACCGGTTTCCGAAAAGGCTTCAGTACCATAGACAATATACACATCCTAAGGAAGATTGTACAGAAGACTGAAGAGTACAATCTGCCACTTTGGCTGGCGTATGTGAACTATGAGTCCCTTCAGCGGTGCCAAGTTGACTTTCGGTATATCGAAGTGCTGAAGTATTTGTACAGTAGGGCTACGATGGCTATCCGAGTACAGAACCGGAGTTCGAAACCGATCTTACTGCAGAGAGGTATAAGACAGGGTGACGTTATATCCCCGAAACTCTTCACCGCTGTATTGGAAGACGTTTTCACTGCTACTGGACTGTAAAGGATACGGTATTTACTTCAATGGCAAGTACATCACTCACCTTCAATTTGCCGACGATATAGTCCTTATGGCAGAATCGCTGGAGGACCTAAGCACTATGCTCAATAAACTCAATAGTGTCGCCCAACAGATAGGTCTTAAGATGAACAGGGACAAAACAAAGATCCTATTTAATGTCCATGTCACACCTATGGCGGTAGTTGTTGGGATTACTAAGCTCGAAGTTGTTGACGAGTGAGTTTACTTGTGAAAAATAGTCGGACTACGTAAGTCCAACTTTGACCGAGAGGTTAATCGACGGATTCAACTTGGCTAGGCAGTGTTCGGGAAATTATAAGACGTCTTCTCGTCAGGTATACCTCAAAACCTAAAAACGAGACTGTACAACCAATGCTTGTTGCCAGTGGTTACTTATGTATCTGAAACGTGGTCCTTCACTGCTGGCCATATAAGAGCACTTAAGGTCGCTCAGCGAGCTATGGAAAGGGCTATGCTTGGGGTTTATCTGCGTGATAAACTTAGAAATGAGGATATCCACAGTAAAACCAGAGTGACCGACATAGCCCAACGGATTAGTAAGTTGAAGTGGCAATGGACTGGCCATACAGCTCGAAGAACCGACAACCGATGGGGATAAGTGGTTCTCAAGTGGCAGCTTCGTACCGGTAGGCATAGTCTAGGGCGACCCCACACTAGATGGAGTGACGACCTGGTAAGACATGAGGAAGTCGATGGATGCAGGTGGCTCAGGACCGTGCTTTGTGGCATTCCTTGGGGGAGGGCTATGTTCAGGAGTGGACTTGTGAAGGACTGTAATGATGGTGGTGATGATGAAAATAAACAACAGAACACATTCATCTACTGAACGTATTAGCGTATTAGAGTAGGTAACACCTACTTATTCATTTGTTAGAATGAAAATTTGTGGATAAATGTAAAATATTATCCATTTAACTCAATTTTCACTAAAATCCGGAAAAACCGGATTTATAAAACTCTGGAAAATCCGGATTTTTCTGTTATTTTCGAAATTTGAAGAATCCGGATTGCAATCACTAATCATCGTCATCATCATCTTCATGATCATCTTCACCATCATCGTCATCGTCATATTCATCATCATCGTCATCCGTCACCGTCACGCCGTCACCGTCATCGTCACCGTCTTCGCCAGCATCATCGTCATCAGCAATGTCATCATCATCATCATTCATCATCATCGTAATCGTCATCATTGTCACCATCATCTTCGTCGTCGTAGTCATCATTGTCATCGTCATCAATCATTGTAGTACTCATCGACATGGTCATCGTCATCATCATCGTCATCGTCATCATCATTATTTTCATCATCATCATCATCATCGTCATAATCATCGGCATCATCAACTTTATTATCATCGTCATCATCATCGTCATCATCAGCGTCATCATCGTAATCGTTATCATTGTCATCATCATCTTCGTCGTCGTCGTCGTCGTCGTCATCATTGTCATCGTCATCAATCATCGTCATACTCATCGTCATCGTCATCGTCACCGCCGTCGTCACCGTCTTCGACAGCATCATCGTCATCATCAATGTCATCATCATCGTCATCATCATCGTAATGTCTCGTCATCATTGTCATCATCGTCATTGTCATCATCATCATTATTTTCATCATCATCATCATCAACGTTATCATCGTCATCATCATCGGCATCATTAACTTTATAATCATCGTCATAATCATCGTCATCAACATGTTTATCATCATCATCATCCGTAACCGTCATTGTCTTCGTCACCGTCGTCGTCACTATCTTCGACAGAATCATCGTCATCATCATGATAATCGTCATCCTCATGATCACCTCGTCATCATCATCGTCATAATCATGATCATCGTCAGCATCATCACCATTTTCACCATCATCGTCACCGTCATAGTCATCGTCATCGTCATCATCACCGTAATCGTCATCATCATCGTAATCGTCATCGTCATTGTCATTGTCATCGTCATGATAATCGTCATCGTCATCATCATCTACATCATCATCGTCATATCCCACCATCATCGTCACCATCATCGTCATCGTCATGTTCATCATCATCGTCATCCGTAACCGTCATCGTCATCGTCACCGTCGTCGTCACCGTCTTCGACAGCATCACCGTCATTATCGTCATCATCATCATCATCGTCATCGTAATCTTCATCGTCATTGTCATCATCAATGTCATCGTCATCATCAACGTCGTCATCATCGTCATCCGTCACCGTCATCTTCATCGCCACCGTCGTCGTCAACGTCTTCGTCATCATCGTCGTCATCATCATTGTCATCAAAATCATCGTTATCATCATCATTATCGTCATCATGATCATCGTCGATATGGTCATCATCGTCATCGTCATCATCGTCATGTCATCATCGTCATCGTCATAGTCATCATCAACGTCATCGTCGTCGTAATCATCAATATTATTACGGGCTTGAGGTTCGTGACAATAAAAATTGCC